TGCAGAACAAGATTTGTAAATTATTTCATAAAATAATTTTGCAAAGATCAAAGTGCAAGTTGAAACGCTCAACATCGCAGGTAAAATTTTGTCGAAAAAAAGCACACTGTAACGAAAGACGAATAGCTTTAGAACGTAGTATCGTTTGAACGACTTATCAAATGCCAGGGGTTCGTCGAGTTGTTCGCGCGCGAAAGGAAAAAAGAGGGATGAGAGAGAGAGAGAGCAGAGCGATCATGTGCAGAAACGCGGGAATGCTAGAGCCGCGTAAAACATCTGAATGTTACCCTCTAGCAATGTCTTATTCTATTCCACTTTTATGGGCTGCGCAAGACTTTATCGTCTCAACAACGCGCGCTCTCCTTCCTTCTTTCCTCTCTTTCCTTTTTATGTGCTGCTAAAAATTGCTCGACGCCAACGGCCCCGAGCGAAAGAAACATTTTTCGCTCTATTAGTTGTCGAAATGAAAAGCCTTCGTATTGCCAACTTAATTAGCTTACGCAGTTCGTGTTGCTATAGCGGCTTTATACGTGCATCAGATTGATGAGGTGAAATGGCGGGAATTAATAAATATACTCTGCGATGCTCCCTATACTTCCTATTGATTTCCTTTCATATCGAGCACTGCTAAATAATAATACATACATATTTATGCGAAAAAGTAGCTCCACGCTGAGTGCACCTCTAAAAATTTCAACAGTCTCTTCACTTTTTTTTCTCTACCTCTCTTACTTACTTTTTTCCTAGCCTTATGCGATAGCTCCAATTTCTTTCACTTAGCGGTAGTTTCTTATCCAGGCTCACTTGCACAAGTGTAATCCTCCTCCGTTTCCACTAGAATTTGAGCGTCTTTGCTGTTCGCCAAGAAGAATTGAATAATTTTTATTGCCTGTGCAATGTCTACTCGAAATATCTGTGTACTTGCCGAGTAAAGGAAAAAGCGCCAATTTGTTCTATTGAGCAATAGAAAGGACAAACAAGGGTTAGCGTTGAAAATTAGCATTTTAATTGAGCTACCAAGGAGCATGTCGTCAAGACAAACGGTTCGTTATATAGCTATGTATAAAGGTCAAGAGAGAGAGAGAGAGAGAGAGAGAGAGAGAGAGAGAGAGAGAGAGAGAGAGAGAGAGAGAGAGAGAGAGAGAGAGAGAGAGAGAGAGAGAGAGAGAGAGAGAGAGAGAGAGAGAGAGAGAGAGAGAGAGAGATACTGAGAACGCGTTAATTGCGACCTGTTGCGGTTGGAATATCGAAGCCCTCGCCGTCCTACTTCTAATACGTATCGTCGCCTGGTGTTTGAAAGCCTTAGATGCGTTCATTGTGAGCTCGTTCCAGATACGCAAAGACTTTGGTCTCGCTACGTTACTCCGCATACACGAGGTGCTGATTAATTATCGATACGGAGAGTTTGCCGATTCCTTGCGCATATGTTGTATACGTGTTGCTCTGTTTCGACATTGTAGTTTGCTGATTGACATTGATGGAATTTTTAACTTGTTTTGCGGAGGAAGTTTCGTAATAGTCAACATTTTTAACTCTATATTTTTGGAGACGCTGATTTTCAAAATAGGAAATGTCCGGATCTTAAAAATTATACATGACCTGTACGCGCGCGCATATGCGTATACTACGTGTTTGTTCTCAATTTTGAAGGTAATCGCGTGAATATTTCCAATTAATGACATGTTTCATTTAATAATTTTTGTTAATAGTCATTATTGTAATTGAATATCACTTAGAGCTACTTTAAATGTGCCTTGGAGTTGGTTCAAGTTACAATTAATATTTCTAATTCTTTCATTCTCAGCTATTCGCAAAGACCAGTTTTTTTTAAACAAACTGCAAAATTGTATTATAATTGATCTTTATGCAATAATCTGCGCTACATTCATGTTGGTTATATATTGATCAATTCACATTATTTAAAAATTATTTATTATTGCACACATATTGGTGAGTGAAAAAATAGGCAAAAGAAACACGCTACGCAGTAAACCTTATTGCAGAACAAATCTCGCTCGTGTATAACTTAACTACTGTACAGGATACGCATACACAGAGAAGAAAATAAAAAGTGAGAAGCTTGCAGGCGGGAAAGAACGAAACGAAGAAATTGAGTACGAGAGGTAGGAGGGCTTTCAAGTGACGTCGAGATAAATGCCGCAAATGCATGGAAATTAATGCGACGGATTAGCATTTTAATTCAGATGCGACAGGCTTTCGTTCCTTCTTTTTTTCAGTTGGAGAAACTGCGCGAGACACCTTCTTGTTCCCGGTATCCTTTTCACTTTTGAAGGTTTTCATGCCTCTTTTCAAACACTCAACTCTTCCGTTTTTTTCAACGTGTCTCACAAGACTTTAATTAGATTTCATTATTATACACTTTGCAAGTTCATCGAATACTCGAGAAAGAACATTTTTTAAATTTTATTTGTTTGACTATTTGCGAGGTCATCTGATGGTTACTAATATAGTTTATAATAAATTATAACGTATTCTTCAAACTTTTATTAAGGTTAGTTTATTTTAGTTTTAATAATAATTTGTCACTAATTGTGTTTTGTAAAATTCATTCAACATCTTTAAATGCATCGGAAAAAGTGTTTTAAAATACTCATAAAAATCTAAGTTAATTATTAATGAAGAGTCTACGACTTGTTTATCAATAATTAACGAGGTAGCAATATTTTAGTATACAAAAACTATTTATAATAGTTCTTAAATTTGCATTCAATGGATGAAAATCTCTCATAAATTTAAGTATTAATTGTATAAATCAATCCCACGCCATTTTTATTAACGTAATGTCCAACTTTCAGTTATATTTGAACAATATACGAAAGCTCATTTCGGACAAGATCGTATACAATTGTAACGAGATGCATTGAAAAAGAGACTCATTAAAAATTCGCATTTGGAAATAAACAGAGATCCTTGGAACCAGTTACAAGGAGGAACAAAACTAAGAGCTTGTAATGTCGAACGTGAAATGGAAAGCTCGCTGTTATTGTCCAACTTCAGCTTCTTATGTAAATACAAATCCAAATAGATGCAATGCACTGTTGCATATTCACTTGCGGAATCATCGACCGGAATTTTTTTAATGCACTCAAGTATACTTGTGGAAATTGATGTGCTAGAAAAAAACTCGGCTACTTTATTTACAGCGTTTTTTAAAAATTGTTTATAAAAAACTACGTTTGGTCTCTCTTTTAGCAATAAGTTTCGACAGAAATGGAGAAGATAAATCTTTCAAGATAGATTAATCCGTTACAATCAGCCAAAATTGAAAGTTCATTAAATAACAGTTTGCTCTCGTCGTACGCAATCCATCTCAATTTTCCAACTAGACAAAGCTCGCGCAATGCCAAAACTTGGCCAGCAAACGCGCGAGAATGGCTATTATTAAGTTTGAGAGAAACACGTATATACGTTTGCGCACCAACCCTCGTCGAGACATTCGCCCGCTCGTTCATTTACGAGGATTCACGGCATCAACGGATACGTATAGCATAGAAGGCCTGGATTCACCATTGCTATATAGCGCTATACTATATTAACTTTATGTTACCATCAGCCGCAGCGAGTTTGAATTCTCATGGGTGAAAAAGTTTCGCGAGCATTGTGTTTTTTTCTTTAGTCTGGATATTTCGAGGCTCTTCACCCTCGTAAAAACTGTTAATAATTTCGATGACTCGAGAGCCAACTCTCGCGGATTTACGGGACTTTGTGTACGGTACAACTGAGAATTATTCATCAGTATTTGCGAATCCGATGTTAGGAAATATGCGTTTTCCCAGCGCGCTGCTTGGTTTTTGAATGCCACTTGTATTGTATAACACATTGGAGATGTGAGTTTTGAATAAAGCATCGTTTGAAGGAGCTTTTATGAATAATCATTGAAACGTCTACCTCTTTCTGAAATATTTATGAAATTATTCAGATCTGTGATTATTAATCCAAAGGAGCAGCATGATGAATCGTAAAAATACAATTTTTAGTGCTTTGAATGGTCTTTAATCTCGTGTCTTGTTTATAATGTAAACTATTTTAAAAATATAAAATATTGAGAAATTTTTTATAACTATTTTGACGTAGAAGTAAAAGATTTGTAATACTGTTGAAACGGCGCAAAAGCGATCTTCGCGAATTGATATCAGTCGTCTTTCTTCTTGGTAATTCTCTTCGAGAAATTGCATTAGAAATTCTTCTCTCTTTCTAGTCTATCGTCGTATTATAGCGCCAACAAACTAATTATTAATAATTAATGTAACATATTTCAATTGTTTTTATCAACATTCTTAAATCATTTTTTGTACGCTATTGTAATTTTGAGATGTATTATCGTTCTTCTTTATAAATTATCTTTATGAATATCAGAATGAATCTATTTTTTCATTTTACATTGCATATCGCCATCAATATGAATGCAAATTTTCGTCTAATAAATGCAGTCAGTCACGTATGAAAAATATAACTAGCGTATATTCAAAATTAAGGTCAGGCTAACTCTTCGAGAGAATTGTAAATTGCTCGACTTGGTAATTTCTAATTTCTTGCAGTAAGCAAACCTAATGAATACATTTGCGCATGATAGAGGGCGACTGCAAAGTGAGGCCAAACTGTCAGCGCATACGTAATCTACTTGTCGAGTCGAACATGCGACTTCCCTGCATGATGTTTTCTGATGCAACGAGAAAGTATACACTCGAACTTGAAATATATTAACTTTTTAAGAATTATAAAACCACATTTTTTTACAAGATCTTAAAAGTAAAGAAAAATTTCTAGTCTGTAAAATAACTCCAACACTAGTCAGGAAATTCATAAGTCAAAAGTTGAAAGTACGTCGAGTGAATATTTGAGAAGTGTAAAATTTGCAATACTTTCATGTAAATAGGAAGCAAGAACATTGTTATAGGGGAAGTGTCGTATCTCCCTTTGTACTCCAACAAAGCAGTCTTTTTCATTCGGTCCATCGACGAGTGTTCGGCATCCGCTCCTTACTTACTCCCTTGACATGACATTAGGGTGCAAAATGCGCTCTTTCCGTTTCCCGTGCAGACGCATCGATTGCACTTGCTACCGTAGAAAGTTTTTCCGGACACACAGGCATCGCCTTGTTTCGCTCACTGCTGGAATAAATAAGTACTCTTCAGTTTTTCTTTATTATTTTGTTTTGCTTCATAAATTTACTTGTAAAAATTATACACATATAAATATTTTATTTTGCCTATCATAGGAAAGAGACAAGTGCTGAAGCCATTCAACCTAAATCCAACTTTGCTGGCTCTACAACAATTTTATCCGAAATGATGAGATTTATGAGTGTATTTTATAATTAATAAATTTATGCGCAAAATATTAATCTACTATTTATTAATTCATCGTGCCGATAAGAAACTTTGATTAAGCAAATATATTTTTCGTTATATACTCAACTTGTTTGATGAAAAAATTGTAAATCTAAATTTTTTTGAGAGTGGAAAAACAATATAACTTACGAGCATGAACAATATCGATGTTGGTGACATTTGCAATTCCTCCGATTGAACAAGCCACGTCCGCGTGCAAGCTGTAAGCTGTGCTCTTAGCGATGGTAAAGTAAATGCACACATTATGGCCCTTTTCTGAAAAATACGCCGTGAGTATGGATACGGATTACCTCGGTCTGAAAAATTTAAAACGAAAGTTTTATTTATCAGTATCGAATTTGAAACTCACAAATTTTCTACTATATTGTACATAAGTTAAATTTTCAAGTAAGCTCGCTGAGGATATCGTCTTAATAGTATAATATACAAAATAATAAGTGATTTTAATCACCCTCAGAATTGTTCAAATTTCCTTTTGAAATTTTGCGGAAAATATGTTTAATTACGTTTCGAATTACAGTTATATTTTTCTTGCGTCAGCAAAATAGCTAAAAGTCGGCTACAAACCAACTTTGTACCGTTAGCTTAAAACTTTTCATTTATTCAATCGCTTAAAAGTCGAGCTCGTGTATAACTAAGAGTGATCTCATGGCTCTATATTCCAATACCTTTAATTAAGACATATCACATCTAAAAATACATTCACATGAATAATTCATCTGAGAGGTGTTTACATAATACTTTAATTCATATTAAAAAATTATTATTTCAAGCTCATTTTAAAAATTCATCAATTAAAATTACATACATTCTCATTTAATAGACAGAAATTAAACCACTGTAATTTGAGATTTAGTTTATTTAGAAAAAATTTAACAAACATAGAGTATCTTCCTACTTATAATAACGCTAGAAAAGGTATTAATCATATTTTTTGGTTTTGTTCTACATGTAAATCTAAAAGAACAGTCTCACTTAAGCATTCTGTCAGTAGGTTTGCTAACTTTAGTTGTACTAAATTTCTTAAACCATGCAATTTATATACATATTTAAATAATTAATAAATAATATATAAATATTCTTTATATTCAATCATTTCTATTGTTTGTTTTAGCAATTTAATATTTTTCCTTTTATTTCCAATTATTTAATTTCCTAATTTTCTTTTTATATCCTTTTCACTTTTTGGTTTTTCATTTCCTTTGTATTCAACCGAAGAGTTGAATGGAGAGTATGAATGAAACCCACATACTGCTACTATTTATGAGATAACGTCTACAAATCATAGTTGAAAGTGGCTTAGTTAGTACTGGAAATTGCTATCAAGCACTCGAGCAAAGCCATAAACATTAAGAAGAAGAGACTTGCGCATTTAAAATTAAATTGAAATATCCTTCAGTAGCCCGCGTTCATATTTCAATCTATGCTTCTTTTCCTCAATGTTAAACAGAGTATCGATAGGTTAAGCTTTTATCTTTTATTTCAATTTCAGACAATATTATTTGCATTAGATAACAGAGATTTAGTGACTATAAGAAAAGATATAGTGTACATATTTTACTTCTATGTAATATTAATAAAAATAAAACAAAATTTAAAATTTATTTATTCTTGAAGTATGATTTATCAAATATTCAACATGTTCTTCCTTCATTTGTATTAAAAAAATAATATAGACAATTTTCAAATTTATCGAAACTTTCCTAATAAGTTGTAATTACAATGAATGTTTCTTTAATTTTTTTGATGGATATTTTTTTCACATCTAACATGCACAAGTATGTGTTTGGTTGTAAAAACAGATTAAAAGGCACGATAAGAAAATATCGTTGATTCATGATGAACAAAAACGCAACAGTTGCAATCTTCCATGAAGTAAGAATTCATGTATTCAAACCTGTTTTTCAGACTGGTGAATTTTGCGACTTCCGTCGTTCGCTAAACATATCGGTGCATGAATAAAAATCTCCGTTTTCGCGGCAAAAGCAAGTCTTACCAAATTTGTTGATCTTTGATCTAAGCTCGCACAATTGTTTCTTATTTTAGATGATTAAATGAGTGATTAATGCCAAGTCATATATATTCCCAAACAAGTGGTAGGTATAGTAAAAATAACTCAGTGTCTAATTGTGCATCAATTATAAATTTCAGTTATTTATGCTGAAAATAAGTAGGGCTTATTTTAAGAAAATAAGCACGCTTTTTTTAAAAAATATTCCAATTCTTCAAGTTTAATGCAACTCAGATAAAATACACAAATCATGTGTAATAAAATTATACTTGATTTCAAACGCTATTACAGTAGATTCATATACTAGTGCAGGAAAGTGATTCGAGCCAACCGAGGCCAATGGACAAATAACAATCGAATATCTTTGGTGGAATAGTCGATGAATAATATTCTTCAAACTTGACATAGCGCCGATGTACACAAAACACTTTTTCCATTTGTTGAGCAAACACATTATTTACACTCGCTGTAGAACCACTCTTTAGGTGTACAGCTGTCGCTTTATTTGTAGAAAGGTCCCTACTTCTTGCTTTTCTCTGCACCTTCATTTTCGATCGAATTCTCGGAGCATCTCTCATTGCTACAAATCGAGTCGGTACCATATTTGTTACAAGTACAGACCTTGCAATTATTTTGAATGGAAACTTCACCTGCTTTGCATTTCTTGCCTAAAAGTCAATAAACACGTCAATCTTTCGTCTCACAAGAGATCGAAGCAACGTAGAATCATGAAATTACCTTCATTGTTTTCATGGATCATCGATTTTCAAGGTACCATCTTCGTTGTACATATTTTTATTGCATAACATTCTAGTGCAACGACCAACTTTACCTACGCTACTGCAGGTGCAGAAATTGCAGTAATATTTGAATACTTTTCCAGGCTCACATCTTTTTTGCCACACTGTAAAACAATCGAAAGAGATGGTAAATGCTCAAGTAAAAATCTTCTTTAATAAAAGAAAATAATGATAGTGAACCGCGGAGGTAATTGAGTACATGAAACTTTTGTTTTAATACTGCAATACCTAGTCATTTACTTAAAAATATAAATATCAGTAAGATCTTCATATAAATAATTAACAAGTTGAGAACAGCGGCGTATTTTTTTTCTCGATTTTTTATATGCTATACTCGATAAATATTTAACTAACGGAAACGAATAAAAACGCATAATTTATTTCGAATATTAATTCAGCTTCAAATAAGTATACAAGTTGTTTTGTAATGAAAATAATGCTTAATTTATTGCTAGTAAGAAAATAAATAATGAAACCAAATCGTTCGCGTTTGCGTTAAATTTAGTTTGTCTTTTTTACCTGTAGTCGATCTTTCGGCGACGTTCTTGTGTTGAGAAACGGTTAGCTGATCTTTCTTGGTACCATCGATATTCCAGACATCGGGCTCACAGGCCCTAAGAGTGCAACCCATAAGAAAACCACCATCATCGCAGAAACATGTATTGCAATACTGCATGAACTGGGTTTTGGGCTCGCAGCGTTGTCTCTCTTGCGCTTCTGAAAAGTAAATTGAATTAAAATATTTTCAATACTAACTTGTATAAATATTGCAGTATATAAAGCTCGGTACGATCTTACAAATGTAAAGCAAAGATTTTCAAAATAAAACGAAACCTGCAACAGCAATACTCAGTACAATAATAAACAGCGACTTCATGATAGGCTTCTATTGTTCTTAAAACGTCAAATGATTCGTTTTTGATCGGCAGCTCGTTTATAAAAGATGATCATGATCGCGTTGCCATATGTCGCGCTCGTATGCGCGAACGATATAGTGGGGATAGTTTTAGGATGTACCCCCCAGGTCGTGTGCGCGTAAGAAATGAATTTTTCGCGGCTATAGACGTTTGTTAGAATCCCTGACGTTCATTCGAGTGTGTGTGTGTGTGTGTGTGTGTGTGTGTGTGTGTGTGTGTGTGTGTGTGTGTGTGTGTACGTGTGTGTGTGTGTGTGTGTGTGTATGTGTGTACATGTGTGTGTGAAATTTGCACGAAGCTCGAGCAATCCTCGCGATATATTTTCGCAACGGGGAATCTGGAAGACACTGCTTCTATAGTTCCCGCTTACAAATGCGCATTTCAGCATGATCATTACCATGAATATACTCAGAAAGTATTTGAAAAAACGGTCGTTTATGCAAGATATTGACTAGACATCGTGCGATATAAACCTTATTGGGTTCAAAGAATAAGGCGGACTACGTAAATGTTATTAGATCTGTTTACACCTAGAGTTTTTTAAAAATTAACAGTCAGTTTTCGTATTTAATACATTAACATAATTCAAAATCAGTTTACTCAAGTGAATTTTTAGTAAATACCTATTTAGATTTTTTCATGATAATCGTCATATTGAAGATAAAATTATTAACAATGATTAAACTAGAAATTTTTTAGAAGAATTTAATCATTAATATTGATGCCAAGATGATTAGAGTAGCATTATTAAGTACATCTTATTTTATATAAACAGTTTACTGAATGATTTTATAAATAAATCACATTTACGAAAATCAATAGTAAGTAGAATTTAATTTTTTAAGTTCATAAATTCAACAGTTCGGTATTACTAAAATAATACGATTGCTCTTATTCATTTAAAAAACAATAATAATTTCGAAAATTAAAAGACTTGAATCATATACAGAAATATCTACTGAATCAATGCACTGTTATTTTTCCAATGTGCAAAAGTTTTTCACATCGTGCGAAAAACGCAATTTGTCACCTATTTGTAAAGATCTTTCCATGTCTTGATCCCTCTGTGTCGGAATGACTATTGAGATCAGATTGATTATACAAAAGACCAATTACAAAATGATTTGATTCTCCTTCAGAGACCTGGAGTTACGCTTTTCCAGAATAAAGATTTTGTGAAAGTATTTTTAAAGATAAAAATTAAAAAAAATTATTTCTCTAATCTGTTATCCTTAGATTTATTAACTTGCGAGGTGTAGGTTTGCACTAACAGCTGCATAGTGAGTAGTATCTCGTGGCTAGACTTCCGAGTTTCGTTTATGTTTGAATTTTTTGAAGAGCAAAACTCCGTAGCATAGTAAAGGAGTTCTTCACTTTATATCATATGAAAAGTTACAGTGATGTGTAAATGTTTCGATGTCAATGCAAGAGAAATTAGAGAATTGCATTGCTTCATCGATAGATTCGATAGTTTCATATTATTCAGTTGAGAAGATCGCCGACGTTGATAGTTATATGGTTGTTTCAAATATTCTCATAATATCAATCCATTAGAGTGCAGACTAGCTTCACATTTGCATATGTTATAATAATTAATGAATGTAGTTCCTGGATCGCACTCTTGTTCAGGCTCCTCGGTCACTACGACTGATGGAGCTTGACGAGTTCTATGTGTTTTCAAAAAATCAAAATGTTCACAGCCTTTACATTGTGCAGGCAGTGTTTTAACCATCCGAAAAACGTCTGTAAGTTTACAGTCATTTTCAAAGAAAAAGTTTGGCTCACATATTTGCTTACCCACATACGTACTATAAATTCAAGACAAAACTATTTTGTAGAAATATTTCATGGATTAGTATAATTGTTATAAAAAATGCCAATAGTCATTCACTCGTTATCACCGCGTTACAATTGCGACGGAAGCAATAAACAGTAACTTCGTGATCAGTGCTGTTAGTAGTTCTTTGCGAGTCTGTTTACCAGGCACATGTTGTTTTGAATGGCCGTATTCATAACCATTTGCTTACAAAATATACTCGACTATTTAACACATGCGGAGATGTCAGTTTCATACGAGTGAGTAGTTGTCGGAAAGTACGAATTATCTGAAAACCGATTAGCGATTCCAATGTAAGACAATCAATGAAAGAGTGAGTTCATATTTATTATTACGCAAAAAATCCAACAATTCAAATTCGTATGAGTTTAGATTTTTTACAAAAATTATTGTAACAATAAATTCAAATAGTCAAAATAGTTAAATAACCAAGTTTTTTACATCATACTTTGAAATCGTCTTTTTCAAAGTCCGGACGATGTTTAATAACAGGTCGCTCCTCTGCCTTCCTGCAAACATTATTATAATAATCATCAAATATATACTAGCTACGAATTTGCTTAGACTCTGTACTCTTTGACAGATCTGGTTTTAAGAGTTTCTCATGGTTCCATCTGCATGGTTCAATTTCATGTTTTTTTGTGGACAATTTTAGAGTACATATAGGTATGCCGGCACGGTGCTTTCTTGTTTAATTGGCTAAATCAAGTTTATTTTTATTCAACAAATTATAGGAAATTTTTCTATACACCAATAAGATTCATTTATACTTCTATCGTGAGTTTGTGCTTATTATTCGTCACCTTGTATTACAATCATTATTTTTATTGCCATTAAAATGTAAATTTATTCACGAACATCATTGTGGCAATTTTTACAATTAAAAGTATATAATTATTATAATGTATGTATCGTTAAAGCAATCATCAATCATTGACGGTGTTTGCAGTAAATTAATATTTACTCTAAACACCAATTATTGGGTCATGATGGTTAGTTTCAAGACCATTTTCTTATTGATTTTGATTTTGTTAAAAGAACTCCATTATAGGTTCTTAGAATAATTATTTCTTTGACTTTCCGGAAATAATATATATTATCAAATATGTTGAATATATAAAAACAAGTAGCCTTCAAATAATAAATCATAAATCACAAATAATTAAATTGACATACTTCGGTTTTAGAATTAAATATGCAAAGTATATTATTTGACAACAAAAGGATACATTTATTTTTAGAACTTTTATTATTGAAATTTTAATGCATTTTATTAATTGAACTTCATTTTTGAAGAAGCTGCCTTTAAAGCAAATACTGATAGAGGTGATTTCAATCATTGAAATACGAAAAATAACCTGTTAATAATTATTAAATAATAAACATGTATATATTAGAAATACATAAATATGTAAACATAAACTCTGAGTTTTTTAATAAAAAGAAAGGCAAATATAATGATAATAAACAGCACATGAAGTGATCCAAATACTAAGATCAAAAAAACACCGGCAGTATGTACGTTATCGTTACGTAGTGATTTACACCGTCAAAGTTAACAAAAACAGTTCAAACACATTTTTTACCTTTGTTCACGTTATTTTTAAATCAATATGAGTACATTATAGTATATGTAAATCGCTGATGAAACCTTTCGTGATTATATTTCGACATAAAAATCACTAACATTTTATGTCAACAAATGACATTTTTTTCGGATCAGTGTGATCAATTCATAATAATCATAGATAGCCTTCTCAGAAGTGAAATTCATTTCACAATATTTTAAAGAAACAGTATCTATATTTCAACGATTCAATACGATCATATTTCAATGATTTATGTTTCAATATTTATTTATTGAGCAATCTGACTAGAATCAGATCGTCTTATTATACTTATTATTTTAATAATATTATAATAGCGTATGATTGTTCCAAAGTAGCATTGAAAATAATCCTACAATTTAGGTACTCCGGTTTACAAAAATTTTCTTTTGATACTCCGTGCGCAAAGTGCGTCTTTTCCGCACGCTCGGCAGAAAACATGCGTTGAAAATTGCACTTTCCACACGTCGTATCAAAAGATGACACTTGTTCGGGAAAAAGTTTCTCATCTCGTGTGGCGTTTACGTCCAAGCGAAGCGAGGACAAGAAGCGAGACAAGAATCTACTTTCCCGCACTTGTATCGTAATGTACTAATTCTTTTTCAACACGTCGGGAAGTGCATTGATGCATTTTTGTTCGACATATAAATGAATGTTCTTTCGCTGTCTACAATATAAAATCTAATTTGTATTATCGCATATTATATCATGTCGAATTTTATAATTATATTTTTCCCCCTTCAACAAAATAGTACATTACGATACAAGTGCGGGAAAGTAGATTCTTGTCCCGTGTGGCGTTTACGCCCGAGCGGAGCGATGGTGAAAAGGTACACGAGACGAGAAACTCTTTCTCGAACATGTGTCGTACCGTATTTTTTTATACGACATGTGGAAAGTGCGATTTTCAACGTACGTTTTCTGTCGAGCGTGCGGGAAAGACGCACTTTGCGCACGGAGTAGCGAAAAATAAAGTTATGACAAAAATTTATCTTGATATTGTAATTTGTGATTATCGATTTAAAACTTCAGCTGTGAAATCAAATTTTCGATTTTGTAACTAATGATCAATTTTTCAATTCTTTATAGGTTGATAAGGTAAATTTTTTCTTTTTTGACATTATAATGACGGTAAAAATGGTAATTATTGAAATTTGAAATTTAGATTTGTAAATGATTATGGATTTTTAATTATGACGATACATACGCAAAATAATTTTATGTATAATTCGCATGCGTGTTATTTTGTTTATAAAGATATACAGCATAATTATAACTATACCATAATTAGCGTCTCATAAAATCGTTACCGTGTGGATTATCAACTCCTTGAACTTTTGATGAGCGTACACGTAGAGAATATCGTAAAAGTGTGTGTGTGTGTGTCGTAAAAGAGAGAGAGAAAATAAAGTCTCGGTTGTAGGCTACTTAAGATTACGTGCAAGTACAATGCATTTGAATACAAGTAATGGATTATTCTGTTGTATCAGTTAATTTAAGGCAAATTATATTCTAAAAGAACTGTAATTACAACAACTTTTTAATTCACAAATGATGTTTAGCCGTTCAATTTGAAGTGGCACGTTTTTCTAATTAAATCAACAAATCAAATTGCATACATCCTTGCTATATCTATTTTGCTGTTCAAGTACACAACGCTATAAAGAAGCCTTTAAGTGCGTAGAAATCCGGTGCCTTTATGTGGGAGCCGTAAACCGTCAGCCCTTTTCAACTTCGGCCCATCGTAAAACTCTCGAGTTGCAATGCAGTTAGCGAAATCCGGTGCCCAAGTCGGCTACACGGGATTGAAATAAATTGGGTAATTAATTCATGCGTAATTCATTTTGAACGAGCAGGTTTCAACTTTCGCAAATGTAATCAAATTTGTGAATGAGAATTTGATAAAAAAATAGTCTGTTATTTTCATCTTACACTATGAGTTTACGATTGATTCTTAATATTACAATCGGTATAATTGTATTAATATTTACTATAATTAATGCTTTAGACTTTGATATCCCATTTCTGATTAACTGACTTACAATTATTAAAAATTTTTTATATCGTCATCTCTACTTTTAAATATAATAACTTTTTCTATGTGAAAATTTAGTACCACTTTGCTCTTACTGTTTTAGCAGACGTTATCAGTAAGCGACAAGTAATTAAAAATAATATTTTTACAACAGTCTGATAATTTATGTAAAAATCTTGTTTATTGTAATTATTATCAACACAAGTCCATTTGATCGATATTTGATAGCTTAATGATACAATCGTTTATAATTATAAATAATCTAGATAACAAAATGATAGCTTGACGTGATACTTGGTTCGTTTCTAATTATATAAAAAATATGGATGCAAATTAATAAGATTTCTATGATCAAAAAATAGTTAATTCTTGTCATTAAGTAAAAAATCAAATGATGGTCAAATTAAAAACTTTTACATAAATTTAGGTACTTCTTTCCCTTTCATTTAGTGAATATTGTCATACATGGTTTATATTTTATTTTTTATACAGGACCTCACTAACATAAAATTACAACTACCGCTAAATATGACCGTATTAATTTGAGAACCAAATATCAAATATCTCTGCCTGTAAAATAATATACAAATGCCTTAAAAATGTCTAGACTTATGTAAACGGTGTACTATAACGGCAAGGTAATTTACATTGAAGTATAGCAGATTAAATCTTTATTGTAGGTTTCAAATGCTTGAATAAACAAAAATTTTAGGTTTTTTTTGCCTTGCAACATTCGATATAATATATCAATGATGTTAACATGAATGCTTCTGAGTAAAATTAAAAACTCTGGTGTAATATCAGCTTTAACCATGCTATTAAAGGTATTATACAGATATATTTATATAAAGTGACATTTTAATAATGAATAAAATTTTATACCCTCAACTCTAAGTTTATTAAACATATCAGTCGTTTTTGCTTGCATCTCGAGTTCTCCCATTGTTGAGATCAACCCAATCGAATAAAAAGTTAAATCTCATCATCGGTAACGACATCGATGATGTGAAAGAATTCTCTACTGGGAATGAGAGAGTATGAGAGAGAGAGAGAGAAAGAAAGAGAGTATACAGACAGAGTTTGTGAGGACGTGCATTTAAGGAGCGCCGAAGTTTCTCTCAGCTGACTATCAGATCGCAGACACCCTCGTTTTCAGGCGTACGTGCACGTGATTATACTGCTTTACTCTACCGGGGCTTGTGGACAACATTGTTGTCTGTAGAACTTGGCCAAACGACATATATATTCTTAATTACACTAACTTACGAAGTGAACGATACCGAGAGCTACTTGCAATCGCTTTATGAAAACGCTTATTTTCGATTTTATTTTTTATGCTAATGAAGATTTATTTTCTTCAATTTATGCAATATGTTGAATGTTAGAATACTATTAGAAAAATATTTATTATTTTATGAAATTCTAAGATAAAATACACATAAAGTTGTAATTAATGTTGATATAAGAATATTAGTCCAACTATTCGTATCTTTAAAATCAATGGCATGAAAATTCTTATGATATATTTTACAAGCTATATCAGTTTGAATACGTGCTTCAGAATTTGTCCTTATGATTTCTATAAATAACTAGGGTCCTCCACTATTATAACCGTTTAGTAGAAAGAACAAAGCAGAGTCAATTTTGATCAAGTTAGTTTACATTTCTGGGTTATTCCAATGAATCATGTAATAATATCTTAAATGGTTTTCTACATTGATTGGTAAGTCACTGGCTATCTGATAAGTGTCGTTAAGTAGAGTCAGATAATTTTTCATATCGAGAAACTGTCCACTTGTGTGGTTGAGCTGTCTGATTATACTTACATGTTGTCAATAAGATAAAATATAATCATTCCTAACGTAGATCCCTTTAATGAGTATTTAAGATGATTCAATGAAAAGAGCTAGTCATACTGAAAATTTACAGTGGAGTGGAAGAGGCTCAACTTAAAAAATAACAGTAAGCTCACAAAGGAATAACCAAGTGAAAACATCTTTAAGATGAAGTCTTTGCTCGTTACTTTTCTCATCATCAGTGTAGTAGCAGGTAAATTTATAATTTATATTTTGTAAATATTAACTAAAGGTTTTTTTTCTAAAGGCTTTTCTACGTTTCAGCTGAAGAATTGTTCTGTATACCGAACTCGCTTTTCCGGCAGAACTGTAATTCATGCGTCTGCTCCAAGGATGGCAAGACGGCTGCTTGTACGGATATGATGTGCCCAAAAGAGGAAGTAAAAAAGTTGTGCGAGCCAGGAAAACAGTTTAATATGGACGATCTTAGCAGTTGTATATGTAACAAAGATGGAATGACTGCAATGTGCACTCTAGGTCTTCAGATTTATGGAAAGAGTCGGCACTTGACCAAAAGCAGTATGTTTTCAATTATTTAAAAAGAATTTAAAGAGAGTATTCTAGTAACTAATCGGAAATTTTCTAATTTTGTAGATGAATATTGCACTTCTGGATCTATATTTAGTCCCGATCTTTATAATATCCGTCACTGTAGTGAGGACGGTACTAATGCAATGTGTTATCTGCAGGTGTGCCCCGTGGAACAACCTAAAACAGTTTGTGAACCTCGTAAATCTTTCAAGAATTATTGCAATACTTGTTTCTGCGCTAGTGATGGTTTATCCTATTCTTGTACCAAAATGGATTGTGACAAGAATATTTGGAACAAAGATGGAAGCTTGAAAGTCGTAGCAAAAAAACCAGTCACGAATCAAGTCTATGAACCACGAAAGGCCTTCAGTGAACACTGCAATACTTGTGTCTGTTCCGATAATGGCTTGTCCGCCATGTGTACAATGATATGGTGTGATGAGAAAATCTGGAATGCAGATGGCAGTACCAAAATGCGAGTCAACACTAAACATGTTTGTGAGCCCCTTAAAAACTTTAAAAACTATTGCAACACCTGTAGCTGTTCAGAAGATGGGCAATCTTTTGAATGCACAAAAATGTATTGCGATAAGAACATTTGGAACCAAGACGGTTCCACTAAGCTCATAGTAAAATCAACTGAAGGTGAGATATCAACGTTTGATCATGAATTTATGAAGTAATCAAATTAAAGCAATGCAAATGATAGTAGTATTTTTTTTCTATAGATCGAGTTTGCACACCAAATAGTCACTTCAAAGAACAATGTAATATCTGCACCTGCTCTGAAGATGGATTATCTAAATTCTGTACCATAATAGCCTGTGGCCCTCTAGACAATGAAACCAAGCCAGTCTGTACACCCAGATCTACTTTTAGTCCCGACGGTTGCAACATTTGCAAGTGTGACGAGTTCGGAACCGACTTTGTTTGCACCTTCAAGTTCTGCTCATAATATTTTAAAAAATGTTAGACAAATATACAAATACTTTAATGGTGTCTTTTAGTAAGTAGATATTATTTATCTGATATTTGCGATCTCTGTGAAGATCTCCAAACATTTATCAGTATAGTTTATTTTATTTATTGTTCGATTATGTATTTGCGTGAAAGAAGTACGGGTGTTGTTATAAGTAGTTATATTGAAATTTTATAATGTTGAAAGTGTCAATCTTAGTAAAAATTGTAGATAGTCCATAAATTAATAAATATTAACTTCTAATGCATTTTCCTTCTTTATAATCTTCATTACCGTATGTTTATTATTTTATTGCTTGAAGATTTACTGGAAATATACAATAATAAAAAAACAAAGAAATTAATTCTACGCTTTTTGACAAATTTTGAAAGATTTTCTATAATCAAATAAAGACAAACCATTATAATCGTAATTTTATTGCAGCGATATTATAATAATATTACAAATATTGAATATTTGAAAGGGATTTGGTTTTCACTGCAGATCAAAATCAGCTTAAGTCAGCGCATACAATAGTGAAGACAAGAGAAAGAGAGAAGTTCAGTGAAACAGTGTGTGAATAAATCAAGAGGTGGCAAGAGAGAGAGAGAGAGTGAGAGAGAGAGAGAGAGAAAGAGAGAGAGAGCGAGAGAGAGAAAGAGAGAGAAAGAGAGAGAGGGGAGGGAATCAACTATATAGCACAGGTGCGAGTGACAGATCAGCCGACGAAGAGATAAGGACTTGGTGCACGAGGGTGGCATCATCGTGCGTTAACTTTCTTTTATCGACTCGGCACGTTTTTCAGTGTTCGCGTGGATGAAGAATTGCCCTATCGATCGGTACTCGGCAAAAAAATTTGCAGGGCCGAAAGTAGGTGCTGGTTTTATCGAATACGTGAGTGGTTGTCTATGTATACGTGGAAGAGAAAAAGTATACTCGTAAATATTTCGATGTTATGTGCTTTATTGTTTGCGAGTCTCGTTATGTCGATGAGATTTTTTTATATTGTTGTAATATGTAAGTTATTCAATTACTTTTACAAGGATCAGTGTATTTCAAATATATTGAAAATGCATTTAGTGCGAATATTTGACGGTAGATAGTATCGGAGAGTTTATATTTGCGATCACAATCACCATTTAAACTGATGAAAGTCATATTAAAGATCATTATAAAGATCATTATAAATATAAAAATCATAGAAAGATATGTTATCAGCGCATTAGATAATTTGATTAATATACTACAGGAAAAAGATGATAGTATATATTAAATTTCACAATCAAGTACATTTTTGCATGGGAAAGAACAAGAACTCAAATCAGAAGGAAGAATTTTTGTTAAACAAAAATATCTTCAAAGACTAGTGCAAACTTTTATGGACAAAATTAGAGGGTTATCATGAATAAGGAGGATTACTAAAACGAAGAAAAATCAAGGAGATGATTACATTATCGTTAACTTAGATCTCATAGAGTAGAACCTTACATTTAGATATGAGGTTGTTGTACCCTTTGAAAAGTTATTAGATCAGTTATTTGATTAGATCAGTAGTAGACTTCTAGAGGAAAATAAACAGTTTTATACAGCAATTAGAAGCTAATTAAAAAATATATATTTTAAAATATTATTAGAATATGGAAAAGTTCGATACTTTAAAGGTGATCGATGAGAATGATTATAAAGAAGGGAGCAAGAGTAATTCCTAACATCAATGATGGGATATGTACCTTCGTCTCAGGATTATCAACAATCAACACCATAATCAAGAGTATAACCAAATATGTAAGACCATTTAAAGCAGTAAGTACATCCTATAATAGACTGCTGTAATTACTATTTATCATAAACGTAACAGAAATGCCAATAAACAACATCTATACATTAGCAGAAGAATCTGCATCTGGTCCCTGGCTTTTGAGTAAAGCTTTTCCATTTGCTAACATATTTTATCATACCTTATTAAATTCTGCTATTGTAACAGAGTATTCATTACGCATGTCTCTTATTTTGCTTTTTTAACTGACTCAACTCTAGAGGGTGCTAATATAGAACAAATTAACAAATTATGTTTGGGTGAAACAGATATTACGATTGATACCTTTATAACAAAATAGCCAAATATTTTCAAGTTAATCCTCCCAAATTTTTCCACATACACTGCCCGTCAATCACTTTTGCCATGCTTACCTCAAAATTAGGCAAACTTGAAAGTTTTGTATCTCGGTCGGAAATCATCGTATCACAAAAAACCGCAGAGCATTTTAAAGGTAATTGCAAAAGCTTCCATTTAAGACGTGCAGAGACTTAAAAATGAAAATATGTGTTTTTTACAGTAAAAAAACTGATTAAAAAATTGAAATTTTTTTAACCTCGACTTAAATGCCAATTTAGAACCAGGCGGTGAAGGGCAAATCGACCGGAGGGGTTCGGAGGGTAATGTCTTTCCCTTTAAAATTATCCCCCGCGGGGTTCTATCCGATGTTTTTTAACCGAGTTACGGCGTTTTTTGTAAAAAAAATAACCTTTTTTTTCAATCCTCAATTACTTCGACTTGCGTACGTTTTGGAAAAAAATGCCAAGGAGAAAAAAGTTCCATTTTGTGCCCAAGAATATGAAAATAAAGTTAAAATAAAGAAATAGAGAAAACAATTTTTTTCGGTTTTTTAGCGCATTAAATAAATAAAGGAATTTAATTTTTTTTTTACGCTTAGTTTTAGTTTTTTTGTGATTTACTACGTCCCTAGACATTTTAAAACGAAGCGTAAAAAAAAAGTTAAATTCCTTTATTTTTTTAATGCGCTAAAAAACAGAACCAAATTTTTTTCTCTATTTCTTTATTTTGACTTTATTTTCATATTCTTGGGCACAAAATGAAACTTTTTTCTCCTTGGCATTTTTTTTCCAAAACGTACGCAAGTCGAAGTAATTGAGGATTGAAAAAAAAGGTTATTTTTTTACAAAAAACGCCGTAACTCGGTTAAAAAACATCGGATAGAACCCCGCAGGGGCTAATTTTAAAGGGAAAGACATTACCCTCCGAACCCCTCCGGTCGATTTGCCCTCCACCGCCTGGTTCTAAATTGGCATTGATTTAAGTCGAGGTTAAAAAAATTTCAATTTTTTTAATCTGTTTTTTTACTGTAAAAAACACATATTTTCATTTTTAAGTCTCTGCACGTCTTAAATGGAAGCTTTTGCAATTACCTTTAAAATGCCCTGCTGTTTTTTGTGATACGATGATTTCTGACCGAGATACAAAACTTTCAATTTTGCCTAATTTTGAGGTAAGCATGGCAAAAGTGATTGACGGGCAGTGTAGATACCGAACACATAATAACAATTCTGCCTATATGATAATTTATATCCGATCGTTGTCACCAAAAGTTATGTCCGGATTTTTTTTGTCAAGTTATATAATGCTCTGATTGAATTATTACCACGAATTAAATGAGTAATATTATGAAGGGCTAATAGAATCGAAAGAATAACCTGGGGCGTTGGGATATTCTTCGACACCTCTGTTTACTGCATCACGCTCCTTCCGCTTTTGCGATGGCTCCGTGAGTCCTGCGCCTTGTTCTGCCTGACGGGTTCGTTGATGACGTCAAATGTGCCTGAGGCACGGCTCACAGCCATGCACACCGCACAAGTCGGGAGGGAGTGTTTGGTGGAGTATTTCAGTTTTAAATAACCTTTACCGTAATTGATTGGGTCGTAATTTGTTCCTCTTTCGAACTAAAAATTTGTGGTATAATAATCTATCAATAATAATTTAGTGACTTGGATGCCAAATTTCCTGACTTTGCAACGCATAACCGTTCTTTCTTTGTTCCCGTTCGCGAATGTTCCCTCTAATTTTCAGAGCTCCTTGCCACTGGGCTCTAGCAGCAAAGGTAAAAGTAGGTCGCTCATTGACGCAAGGACAATTGTCGCCGGCCGATGGACTCATTGCTCAACACTCCACTGCTGTGCGAGAGCGTGAGAGAGGAGGCCTTCTTCCTTCCATTTTTACAATGAACTTTTTGCCAAAAGTGCACATTAGGTGTACAACTATGCATGCTTCCCACTCTCCGCAAAAGACGGTATCGAATTACAGACATCATTCCAAAGTTGATCCGTGCCGGAGCTGCGGAGAGTAAGAAATTGCGTAAATAGTTATTTTTGTGAGAACGCTTGAGATAAGCCTCTACACGCAAACAGCTGCTCGGCGACATTTCAGTGTCTGGTGTCTGTTCTTGCTTGTGATATAACATATATTATACTCACTATCAGCCAATTACATAAAAATTGTCATAAGATGGCATACAAATTATTGAAAGGAAGACTTAAGTTTTGTAAGAATTTTCTTGTAATCTTGACTGATCTGTTTCTTTCAGCAACATGTATGTTTTCACATGACAATTTTAATTGAGAAAAAAATAGATAGATAACTCCATAATATTTCAATATGTTGTGTGGGCGTACGTGCGTGTATATAAATGCGGATATTCGACAGTCCATCTCTTTAAAAAAAGAAGGATGTAAGTAGGTGTATCTTATCAAAAAAGGGAATAAAATAGGTATTAACATAGTGGTAGACGATTTGACTCGATCTGTCGGCAATCTCTAATTCAATGGAAAGAAGAAATAAAAAAAAATATTGAAAATAATATTTATGATAATTCCATTGGAAACAGCAACGTCATCGTAACAGTAATCTGTGTAGCAGAGTAATTCAAAAATCAAAAGAGAGAAAAAGCAGCTTCACATACAAAATATACTGGCAGGTATGAATAAGAGCTTTAGTGCAATAGGCCATGAGGCCAGCGATTCGGCAGCTTTGCGCCACCGCAGCCAGCTTCGTATTATGTAAATGTAAAGTGGTACGTGGTAACATATATATACGTGTAAATTCGAACGGCTGGCCGGAGCCGCGTCGCAGCGGTAAGGCAGTTTTGGCTTTTCTATTTCTGCGTAATTCTCGCATATAAACTGCACATTTACGCAGTGACAATCAGAGTTTGTTATTTTAACTTTCTACCTTTCTAATGCAACAAATTGTTAGTTACAGCTTGAACGATAGAGGGTCTAATTTTTCAGATCATAAATCAATTTTCAAACTGAATTATATATGCCTTACAACAAGATTCAGCATTAACATTTTTAGGAGAAACGGTTTCATTTCATCTTGTCTATTTCCTTCATTATTTTAAACGAAAGCTCAAATGTGCTACAACTTTTTAGAACTCATATTAAGCTGATTTTCGTATTGTTAAACCTTCAAATCATCAAATTTATAAGAATATTTAGGCAAATTTTTAACCGAATTCCACTGTTTATTCTAGTATTTCTTGAAGTGAGAAGTGCGTTAACAGAGCTTTATCTTGATAATTCTATTTGAGTACAGTATATTCCAAACAACCACTCTATTAAAATATGAAATACTATATCCTTACAGTAAGTCTGTATTTATTCGTCTTACCAATTGCTGCGAAAATCTGACGTACACAAGAGCACGAGAGAGTTCGAATAATCTAGACGGTGGTGGACGCTGGGGTGCCACTAAAGACCGAGTTCGAGGGTGAGTGAGCCTCTCTGTCTCTCTCTCTCTCTCTCTCTCTCTCTCTCTCTCTCTCTCTCAGATTCTATGCTATAATGAGGATTTAATCGCTATATGGGTCGTGGAATCTTATACACTCGGCCTAACTGCAAATACGGGAAGGGAAAAAAGGAGGAAAAATCTATTAGCGGATAAGATATCCGGCTAATACTTCAGTAGATACTATCAGAGAGAGATGGCATTTACTATTACGTCTTCGTAGTGTATATATACGTAGGATTCAAGATGAAATCTCTTTTTGGTCCTTTTTCTGCTTCTTTGGTTAATGAGAGCCCACATCGAGAGATCGACTCTCGATTCGAGGCGTTCTCGATCACTAACTGAATTGGACGTTCGGAGGAAAAGTTTTCTCGTTCGACGACTAGCAATATAAATTCAATGGAGTGAGAAGCTCGTGACCTGTTGTCACCTCTCGATTCAAGCATTTGACTCCGTAATGGCTGGCAAGTAAACGCTCCTCCTATCGTTTATTTGGCTTCACAGGTTTTAATCTTTTCAATCGTAATGGAACACGCTATAAAAATCGGTCTAAACCTCTGTGGATGATATTTGTCTGAAATGAAAAAAATTTTTATTTTTTTTAATTTTATAAGCGCAAGTGAAAATTATCTTGATCTGTTCTCTAGAGTCGATAAATATTTTTGTTCATTTAAGTGTTAGTATTTTAATCAAGTACTTAAGATTTTCAAAATATCAGTTATTTTCATTCCATTTCAATGCCAGTAGAGTTAAACTTTTCATTTCATCGGACAAAATCGGAATTATAGTTTAGAAAACGGAGTGTAGATAAAAGTTACAAATGAATAGTTTTAATTGTTCAAACATGACTTTAATATACTTCGTTCCGTTTTAACGATAATCTAGTTTGACATTCTTTCTTTTCTGAAAATCAGGATTAGAATTCTGTAAAGGGGAAGTATAAATAATAATGCTAATGAAATACTTATTTTCATTCGTAAAGTATAATATTTTCAGTGACAATTCGCAATTGTACCGCGTGGTTTAAAAAATTCAAAGATTAATACAATAGGTGACCTACTTTTAAACTGTTCTACCTGACAACCCCTTCGTTTCATTCTCCATTACGAACAAAAACCGTTCCGGATCTTCGGAAAATATTTTGAGAACCGACTATACTCGCAGAGTGTCAAGTGACTCTTTTCCATCGAGGTAAGCGAGAAGCACAGCGCAGAGTCGAAAAAAAAAGAACGTTGAATAAACAGTAGAGGAAGGATGACCTATCTCTACCGCGCGGGGTTAAAATCGAGGAAACGCCTCAGGGCGTCAAGTAGAAGTGTAGAATAGCCGACCGGAAGGAAAGTTTTGACTGCGCGCTCTAGATTTCGTGGCTTACAGGTGAGTCGAGGAAAGGATCTTTCAGTAAAAGAAATATAAAGTACTTGTTGAGAACTTCAATATTGATGATATATATGCGACAGTGTTGATTTGGAGATGTTTCTTGTAAAGTTCAATTTGCTTTATAGGTTTTTTATGAAACAATATCGTAGTCTTTAAGTTTGCAAAAGCTTTTTAATAATTAAATGTTCCAATCATCTTTGACTCTCCAGAACACGTTTTACCAGGGGAAAGGAGGAATAGCAGGAGGATATTCTAACTGGCGTATAGGTAGAGGAAGCTGAAAATCAAAGAAAGCACTCGAGTACGAAGGCGTAAAAAGTAAATAACAATGTAAACGACAATCGTTGCACTAGCCTTTCTTCATAATTAAACAAGGCTCGATTAAATATACCTTGCTAATGACGCAATTCGCCTTCCAGCCGATTGCATCTAATTATTTAGGTCAACGCGCGCAATCCTTCTTTTTTCTTAATTACGAACAGGCAAACTCGTGCTCAATTATGCCTCAATCAAGGAAATTTAAAATAGTATGGTTCTTTCATGGAGCTGTGAATTAAAGTGTGTATGAGCCAAAGTTAATTTAGTGCATAGATTAAAAATTGATAAGAAAATATAATTAAAATTCTTAGCAAACTTACCTTGTGCCGATTACGGTATTCAATCAGAGAAGCAATTCATTCGTTAGCATGTAGTTTTTAGAGTCATATGTCTAGAATTCGTGGTGTTCTAGAGTTACGTAGTGAATCTTGGATTAATTTCCTCGGTAGCCAGCAAAATTGGTATGAGACCTGGTATTATAGACACAAAAAGTTTTAATATTGGTACTTAACAAGTTACATTTTGTAGATAGGAAAATTTTTTAAAATTCAGGACAAGATTGTCGGGTTGTAAAGTCATTTTCATATGTTTAATTCAACGTAAGCATTAATTTTGTGATTCTGCATTTTCATGTTAACTAATCGTTCATCTCAAAACTTTTCAGATTTAAATTCAGCATAATAAAAGGCTTAAGCGAGATTATCGAATCAACTTCCCAAAAAAATTTTATAATAATCTTTTGAATAATAAAAAACTAATAACGTGCTATTATTCGATTATGAAGAAATCCGTTAAAAAGTGAAAGAAGCTCATTTTGTTTCCATGGAGATAGTGAGACAAATCGCAAGTAGACGCTGAGAAGAAAGGTCGAGTAGGGGGGTCAGAGATGTTGCGCCTGAAATAATGTATCCTGGCATGCTTGCGGTAACGGGGAAAGGGAGTTTGTAACGCCACATAGCCACCACGTGCATCAACGTTATTGCTCGGCATACGGATTACGCGGATTAGCGGCCACTGCCACTGTTACTACTGTTGCTGCTGCTCTTTCGCTTTGAAATTCAATTGTCCAGATAAAGGCGTTTTAGGTCTTTACCTTTTTCCTCATTTTTGAGTGTCGATGGAAAGCTTTTTTGTTATGAAAACATATGTTTTAGTCAAGCTTATACCTTCATAACGAATCACTTCTTACAGTGCAGTATACAAGCAGATTATGTAATATTTTTTATCTTGTAGGAAATATTGTATTTGATGTATTGGAATTAAAGTGAAAATGAGTAAACATTAAAGAAATTGTATTGCATTAAAAAATTATGGAGATTCTTACGAGATCCTGATAAATAAAATACGAGCTATACAATTCTTGAAAACAAAAAAGTTCCTCGCTTTGTTCTCAATCGAAGTGAGGAATTCAAACATCTGCGAAAACAGTTGATGGAAAGAAACGTTTCACCTTAAGAAATCAGCCTTTTGATAATAATATCGCTTGACACATATTAAACGATATTAAAAATTAACTTTCAAATTATATCTATATATTATATCATTAAATTGTACTTGAAGACTAAATTTACAAGTAATACATCGAGAATTTGATGGAAAAGCTTAAAAATATTTAGTTTTAAACGATAGGTTTATAAATGGTATTGAAAAAAATGTGACAACTCTATTGCTGGACCGCTTCCAAGATTGGAAATTTTTTTCTCGTTTTTTTTTGTCAGTTCGATACTTTCTTCTTTCTCCCCGTCAGCACGTTCAAATTTTTTTTTGAAAAAACTTTTATCGAACATAAAAGGGGGCGTAGTAAGTAAAATTAGAAACTTTTGGTTACATCATTATCTTTTCTCTGCATTTGCACACATTGAATAATCAGTTAGTTTTGTAAAATGAAGAAAATCCAGTTAAAAAAGAAAGTATTATTTCCATAGGGCTAAAACTCGCTCATAATTTCATGGATCCAATCATTGAATGCAGATACTCGAGTGTAAATAGATGGTGTATTGGGTGTTGTACAGTCAGCTGCAAATCCAAAAGTAGCCACGCCAGCAACTACTTTTTTACCATTTTCCTCAATCACAAGCGGGTTGCCAGTATCGTGCTAATAATAAATAATTTAGCGTTATTTTCTAGAATACTAGTAATACTTTCTTCGAATAACGAACTTACCAAACAATATCCTTGATTTGTTTCAGTTGATCCAGTACAGAATGCAAGGTCGTCACCGAAAAAATCAAATTGGCCAGCACCCAATGCGGCGTCAATTGCGTACTGACAATCATCGTTGCTTATGATCGGCAATGTTAGAGCTTGTAGAGTCTTAGCCAATATAAGTTGCGTCATGTGTGTAAGTGAACCGAGTCCAGTAAGAACTCCAAAGCCCTGTGGATGACTACCGATTTGCGGCAAGTCAATCGGCTTTACAAATTCATTGAATTCCAGAGGTGTTTCCAATTTTATTAAAGCAATATCATAAGGTCCAGTAGGACTGAAAATTTATTAAATAAATTGTTTAATATTAAACACATTTGAGAAAACGATTTGATATAGTGAAATTCGTACTCACTTTTGATATTTAGGATGAACAAAAGCATTAGCGACGTTGGATATTTGTTCGGATTTCGATGATTTGTTTAAGTAGATGTTTCCAGCTTTCACGACAGTATTTTTGAGATTCTGAATATTGTAAGCAGCTGTCAGGATCCATTGTTTGTTTAAAATAGCTCCACCTCCAAAAGCGATTGGGTATCTAGTCTCGAGTAAGGACTTGTAGTATAGATTGACTTGGTAAGGATATTGACCTGGTTTAGCGTCTTCGCCACCGGCCAGACGAGGCAAACGTTTGGCTGTACGTGCACAAAATGTCAACCATTCAGTTTTATCTGATTATTTAAAAAGTACGAGATTTTCTAGAATCGATACCTGCAGATGATGATGCAACGAAGAAACAGAAAAGTACAAGTTTCAAAGACATTTTACTTTTGGCAACATTGTTAGTCGTTTTCTCATCTATATATAATCAAAAAGACACTGCATGTTACACAATCATATATTTTAACAGCTGTACCAAACTCCACTGAATTAAGTGTACAATAGTTAGTATGCATTGATTTATTGTGACAGTTCCATACAAAATATATCAATTATTCATTGAAATTGAAACACTGATGATTGCGAATATCGTGAACTGAAACGTTTTCATATTTCTATTTGTTAAACGTGAATATTACAATGTACGTTAGAAAATTTTTTTCAACTTTTATGAATATTTAGAAATATTACTACAGTGGTTTTGCGAATGGTAGAAAAAGGAAGAAAGCACACTTTGTTCACTGCGATGTAAAGCACGTAAGAATCACTACAGTAGTATTCTGTCGTTTGTTTTTAACGATTTAAAAAATAATGCAACAACAGTATACTTTTTTAAATGATCAGAACTGAATGAGTGAATCTCAGTACTAAGTAACTACTAAAAATAGTAAAAAAAATTAATACATTTAGAATGAATGAGTTTGCAATACAGTAACATGACTCAGTGGAGTGAATTCATCGTAAACCTTAATAACTCATTTTTCATGGCGATGACAATCACGTCTATCAGTTAAAGAATCTACACTTAAACAGCTTGTAAATAAATTACTACTATTTGATATTTGATTATTCGAATACACAGGTAAACGCAAGTGCAACTTATTAACATTGATGACCAAAATTAATAGAAAAATACACCTGACTTGTCTTGAAATACCATTTATAATGAATTTTTTGTCTTTGCAACCCTTAGCTTGAACGATTTTTTTGTTGTTGCACTCGTTCAGTCTTTTGCAGGACAGCCAATTCTTTTTTTCTTGTTCTCTACAGCGCCGATCGCTTTAACAGTGCACCTTCTCTCTTCTTGCTATCTTTTGCTGCTACGAGCGAGTCTTTCATTAGTCACGTCTTCCGTTTCTGTGGCTGTACTTTAGTAGACACCGGCTTGAAAAGGCTAGAGAGGGAGAGAGCACGGTCATTCGGCAGGCATCGATTGAGAGATTTCATTCTGTCGAGAAAGCTTTTCTTCAGCTTTCAAGCGAGAGCATTTGGAATTCGAGTTAGCAGGCTGCTCGATTGCAACCGAGCAACTTTTTTGCCAGGAAAGTGTAAATTTGTAAATGCCACTAGTTTCATACATCTTCGCAATTAGTAGTTTATACATCAATTTTTTATTCGAGTTCATACCGACTATTGCTTCAATATTGTACATTAGTAAATTAATTTACGCCAACTAGAATTTGTTGTGAAAGTACACTACATTACATAGTCAGTTTTATATCGATGGTGAACTCCCATTAGAAGTATTCTAATGTTAGACATCTTATTGAATTTGTAAATAGATGAAGTATTCACAAATTTGTGCAAGAGTGTCTGTTACATATATTGATAATATGAAAATCAAGGAAGTATTTAATAATATGATGTCTACGTGAAGCCACCAAATAACATGGAAAAGTCATAACGAGGTTTTTCATATTTTCCAATTGCCATCCTTCTAATATCATAATTTGGAATAAAAAACAAATAGTGTAGCGGTCACGTAGTATTTTAGAAGCTCCTGTATACGGCAACCCGTCGTACGTATGATCATTTCAGATTAGAATATTCAAAGATCAGGTGCGAATAGATCTGTATATCTATATTTTATATTGTTATCGACGATCAACTCTATTATCATACATGGAACATAAAGTCACGACATCGTTAGATCCACTATGAAAATTAAATCCACTATGAAAATGATTTACTTAATGATTTTACTTCATGTTTTTATGATATTTTAAAATTTATATATGCTTAATATGTTAATAAAGAATAAGAATTGATCATTGCATTTAAATACTGAATTATTTATATACTCTGATTTTGTGAACGAATATTAATTGTCAAATTATTCATACAAATTTATACAAATACAAATGAATAATCGCACTGTAATATTGTGTGAATAACCAAAGATATCAAATTACCGCACCAATATAGCAGAAACTAAATAAAAAATCCACGATGTAGTTATATCTTAAGAGGGCTATAATTAGTATTAAACAGTGAAAAGTATAAGTTTTCTTTACTGTGATGTTAAAAACATTTTATTAAAGTTATCATCACGAAAAACTTCGTAAATGCTTTTATGTTCTTCATTTCAAGTTCCAAAATCTTACATAAGAGCCCTAGAAAGTCTTCTTAATCGTAAAATCGTATTTTTTTTTTTTTTTTAAGTGGTTTGCCATGCTTTTCTAAACGTTAGAGTGAACAAAAATTATTTTTTAAGGGCTCAGTTTCTTTCTTTAGGTCAGTTCTTCAGTTAAGTAAAGAATTTGTTTGAAATAGTCAATTTTTTCATTTTTATGTATACTTTCATTCAAAATTCTTTTTGAATAAATAAAAAGTTTTCATGAAAATAGTCAAATTGATTATTTCGACACATCTTTCACATAATCTAAAGTACTAATCTAAAGAAAGAATGAGCCCTTAAAAAATGATTTTTATTCACTCTAACATTCAGAAAAATGTAAACCACTTTCTTAAAAAAATAAGGTATTATGATTATGTTGATTTTCTATGCTCTTACGTGAGATTGTGGTACTTGAAAAGAAGAAACTGAAAACATTTACCGAGTAGCTTATGATGAAATACTTTTATAACACAGGAAAGAAAACTTATAATTTTCATTGCTTAACACCAGCTAGCGTTTGTAGTAATTATTTAACACCCTTAAATAATAACTAAAAAATTATAAAATAAAAAATCTCAATTGAAATATAAAAAATGCAAAAATTATTTCAATAAAAAATATGCGTTTATACTAAGGATTATTATGCGTTGATAATCAGAAAATAAATTTTAACTAAATAAATGATTATTTTAGGATCTGTATACTTTATATTTTATATGTATAAAACGTAAAAAAGTACTATAATATATTTATTTATAGTAGAATTTATATACGATTTGGATACGATACAATATTTTTAATGATTAAAACGTTTGTAAATACTTAAAAAAATAAATGACAAAAATTAAGTTTAAGATTTGGGATCACGTCAAAAATAGAGTGAAAAGAGCGTTTAAACGTAAAATTGTTCAATAAATTATGTTTAAATACACCTTGTCGATTTTAGAGAATCAAGTTCTAATTTTACCATTCATCGTCTACCACTGACGAACTTCTCTGTAGCTCGGCCAGGCATCGAAAAATTAGTAGTCAGGTTAATTTCTGAGATTATTTTTTAATTTAATGACCTATGCTCAGCAAACTCCTTTCCCTAAGAAATCTTAAAGTGTCAACTCTTGAAGACTGAAACCCTCCTGATCAAAAGACCTGAGACTTTCACCCTTTATCTCTGATCGAAGATCCAAGTTTGTTATGTTACAAAGGTATCAAGTCTACGTACTTGTAGCGTTAACTATAACTTAAAATTAATAAATAATTAAATTTCACTTAATCGCTTAGAGATTCAGCTAAGTAAAATTAGTCAATCTCTTTGAATGTGATTCCATATTTTCACTGATGAAAAAAATGTCATTCTTCTTTTAGATAAGAGAAATGTCTTTGTTATATCACGACAAAGTTCAATTCTGATATTTAAGAATTCCATCTAAAACCAATATGTATGCTATTTGATAAAATAATGTGTGCTTTTGATTCAACTTTTTGTTATTTCTTTCTAAAAGAGTTGTTTAGATTCATTCGGTTCCAGTAAGAACTTTTAATCTAGTTGAATAAATCACAAACAAACAGTGTAAAAATGTAAAATTGATCGAAATATTGGTTAAGTCTTATTAAAAGAGGTATTAAATTAGCATTAGCATACTTTGCTGGTGTATTAAACAAAAGCTGAAAACGCGTATGAGAGTAATGAAATATAGGAATATATAGTGCAGAGTGTCGTTTAGCGGCGGTGCGGCGGCGACTCAATTATCTCCAAGTGAATTATCCTCAAAGGAGAAATCTATTAACGAGTGCCGACGCTTCCTTTATACTTTGGAAGATGAAGACAGAAGCTTTAGTGCGGTTATGGCATCAATGGGAAATAATAAGGAGTTGCGCGCTGAGGTGCTTTCATTTTCGTCGATTTTTAATGCTTTTGAGGAGTGAAGAAGCGCAACGCCGTGAGAAATGGACGTATTGATTATTGTCGAGGATTATTGCTTTTCCAAGTGGCGCACACTTGGAGTTCCTCTATATTTTGAAGCCAGAGTTTTGCTTCTTAGCTTCGATGAAAATTTTATTGTTGGTTTATTATAGCGCTGTACTTGTTGATATTTCGAATTTAGAAGTGTATCTTTTATGAGTGGTGCGTATTGGTTCTGAAAGTATAGTTTGTTAAAATGATCCGTTAGAGCTTTTTTTTTCAAGAATTAGCGATGTTCATTGGTGCCATCACCCCAGCAAACTAATTAGGAAGGATAATGCTATATGCAAATAGCATTGAGCGCAATCTTCAAGGCCAATTGCTCGTTCACTCACTCATCAATATCTCGATTTCCATAAAACACGTTACACTTGAAACTCAGTCGAGTGCAGCTGTCGACATGTATATATGTATATATCTATGTATAAAATTGCTTTATAATCTATCGCACACGGCTGTAAATACTAAAAACAGAATAGAAATGATTTAACTCGTCAACCGCAGTTGGCTAAGGAAAAGCAACAAGCACGTAAAGAGTGTAATCCTTTAATTCGTGTATCGTACCTTCGGAGAAAGAGGAGGAAGGAAAATCACCGAAAATCGTGGCAGGCCGTGAAAACATAGGCGAGCACGTAGCACCTCCAAAAATACACATCTGTAACTGTTATATACGCCCATCCAGGCGCACGACGTGACACAAAAACTCTCGGCTTCCATATAGAGCTACTACGCCGCGATGATAAAGTGTAACGGAATTTTTCTAGAGGATGTACCGTGAGATCATGGCTTAGCTTGGGTTGAATCC